TACCCAATTAGTAGCCCAAATACAGATTGTTCCGAAGTAGTTAGTAATAAATAATTCTAATTTCCCGCTGCTGATAACTAAAAAACTACTTTTTAACTCTTTTTTATGAGTATTCTGGTGTTGATTAGAAGGTGAAATTGTGTATCATTATTAATTATGGAAATCGTAACAAAAGAATTAGAACCCGAACTAACTAAGAAACAAAAACGGGTCATGGAGTTAGTATGACAAGGTCAAAATGTTTTTTTTACCGGGGCGGCTGGAACAGGCAAAAGTTATTTATTTCAAAAACTAATCACTTCTTTACAAGAAAAATACGGGAAAAAACAAGTCGGAGTCACGGCTACTTCGGGTATTGGTGCCGAAGTTATTGGAGGGACCACTCTCCATTCTTTTTTAGGCATTGGGGTTGATAGTAATCTTAGTGTTGAAGAACTATTAGACCGCATTTTAACTAGCCGTTCTTCTTATGCCCGTAAAAACTGGCGGAAAATTAAGGTGTTAATTATCGACGAAATAAGCATGTTAGGCGGGGAATTATTTGATAAACTCGAAAGTCTAGCTCGGCAAATTCGGCAGAGCGAGCAACCGTTTGGTGGTATCCAATTAATTCTAGCCGGAGATTTCTGCCAACTTCCTCCGGTTGGCAAATCTCCGCTTTATTGCTTTGCGGCGAAAGCCTGGGAAAATTGTATCCGGGAGACCATCAATTTAACCCAGGTGTTTCGGCAAAAAAATAACTGATTTATTAATTGCTTGCAAGATATTCGGCTGGGTCGCTTCTCCAAAAGCCGCTGGGAAAAATTTGTCTCCTTGTTAGCCCGTGAGCCAACTTGGCCGGACGATGGGATTAGGCCAGTTAGTTTATACGCTACCAGCCAGGAAGCCGAAGCCACTAATAATCACGAGTTAATTCAATTACCCGAACCTTCTTACCTATTTACGGCCGATGACCAAGAAAAAGAACCCGGCAAATTAAAAGAGTTAATTCGGGATTGTTTGGCAGCTGCCAAGTTAGAGTTAAAAATTGGTGCCCAAGTGATGTTGATAACTAATTATTTAGAAAAAAGATTAGTTAATGGAAGCCAAGGAGTAGTAATCGGTTTTGTCAAGGGTCTCCCGCGTGTGAAGTTTACTAATGGCAAAGTATTAATTATTGAAAAACACACTTGAGAAAAAATTGAGGGTTATGACAACAATAATCAGCCAGTAATTTCGGCTACTCGCACCCAAATTCCGCTCATTTTGAGTTACGCAATTACTATTCATAAGAGCCAAGGACAAACTATTGAACGGCTAAAAGTTGATTTAAGCAAATGTTTTGTGAGTGGACAAATTTATGTGGCTCTTTCTCGGGCCAGTGACCCGCAATTTCTCCAAGTAATTAATTTTCCTTATCGCCGCTTGTGGTGTGATTATAAAGTTCAGAAGTATTATTTAGCTTTAACAAATTACTAAGCAATTTGAAGAGCGAAAATTTACCTTTTTGTTTAAGCCGCTTCTCTTTGTTCTTTTTCTGGTAAGGTTTTGGGAACTCTTTTTTGCTAAAAAGGCTTTATAATACAACTTAACGGCTTCTTAGATGACAAAAATATCTTGGTGGG